CTCGCTCTGTCCCTCTCTGGTCAAGTTTAAAAATAAATAAATAAATAAAGTGAAATGATTCTTTTTAAAAAATCTTTTGCAGACTGGCAGGTTGGGGGAGGTGCTGGCCTCTCACATGGTTGACCATAGTTTGAGGCCTGAACCTGGTCACTTACTTTCTCACTTTCTTTCTATATCGTCACTTTCCTTTTCTCTCTCTCTCTCTCTCTCTCGTGAAATTAAAAAACAATAATAAATAAATTTAAATTTATTTAAGTAAATTTGTTCTGTCTTACATCTAAAAAAAAAAAAAGTTTGCTAGTTTAAAACTCTTAAGTTTAGGGGCCAGCAAGTGGCATGGTGGTTAAGGCGCTGGACACTCCCACATGGCTGACCCGTTTGAATTTCACACGTGGTGGCTTGATTTCTCACTTTTCTTTCCCTCTCTCTCACTCATCAAATTTAAATGAATGAATAAATAAAATTAAATAATTAAAAAAAAACTCTTATGTTAACTCACTGATAGAGAATTAGGTGGTCTGTTTCTAAAAGTTCAATTTGATGCTTAGTTTTGATGGCTGTAGAGGTGAAAAAAGATACTTCATGAAGATTTGTAAGTTCAGGGACCAGCAGTTAGAGTAATGGCTATGTCGCTGGACTCCCATATAGTCAAGTCCCTGACCCGGTGTTCAAGTCCCTGACCCGGTGGCTTAAAACTCACATAAGGCGCATGTGTGTGCGTGCCCAAGATCCCGAGAGGAGAATGGAGGAGAAGGGATTGTGGTGTGGCCATCCCCCTTGGGGGGTGATTTCTCACTTTCTTTCTCTCTGTCTCTCTCTCTGTCTGGCGAGCGCACGCGCCCTATGGCAAAAACCTCTCCAAAGAAAAAAAGATTTGTAAGTTCAGTTGGAAGAATACATGGTCAGTTCTGCTTGGTAAATCATAATTGCTTCTACCTACCACCCACGTTGAATTTTTATTTTCTTAATGGTCATAGGATACGAATATTCACCAGAGAGACAGAGAAAGAACACCCCACTCCAGGACAGGACATGGTCATGCTGTAGTCTCCTCTGTTTCTCTGTCCTGTCAGAATTCTGGGCATGCACACACTCATGCAGGCATGTTTTCTTGAGCTGCCAGGGCCAGGATTTGAACTACAGTCAGCCATGTGGGAACTAGCTTCCTTAACTACAAGGCTGTGCAGCCAGCCCCATCCTAAAATTTTGATTTTGAAACTCATAGAATACATTTCCATTTTCCATGACCTTAAATATCCTGTTCTTACAAACCAATCAAAAGGTGGTGGTTTGGGGCCAGCAGATGGCATAATGGTTACATCACTGGACTCCCGCGTAGTCGACCGTGGTTTGAGTCCTGGACCCAGTGGTTTAAACTCATGCCGGGTGCGTATGTGTGCATGCCCAAGATCCTGAGAGGAGAATAGAGGAGAAGGAATTGAGGCATGGCCATCCCTCCCTGGGGAGTGATTTCTCACTTTCTGTCTCTTTATCTCTTGTCTTTCTGCAAGCGTACGTGCCCTATAGCAAAAACCTCTCCAAAAAAAGGTTTTTTTAAGAATTATTAATTTTATTTATTATTTTCTTTCTTTAGAATTATTTCTTTAATTTTATTATTTTTTAATTTGTCCAGAGAAACATGGGAGTGGAGGGGAGGAAATGTGAGAAAGCAAGACACCAGGTCCAGGACTCAAAATGTGGTTGGCTATCTGGTAGTCCCATGCCCTAACCATCATGCCACCTGCCGGCCCCAATTATTATCTTTTTAAAATTTGCCAGAGGGCACATGCACTCACCAGAGAGAAAGTGAGAAAGCAAGCCACCACATCCGGGACTCAAACTGTGTTTGGCCATGTGTAAGTCTGGTGCTTCAACTACCATGCCACCTGCTGGCCCCAGTATTCTTAACAGACTACATACCTACTAAAATTTTTCATCTGGATGATTTTAAAACAGGCTAGAAAGTATTTCCAAGTTTGGGCCAACCACATGGCTGGATCCCACATGGCTAACTGCAAAGTTTGAGTCCTGGACCTGGTCACTTGAAAAACATGCCAGGTGTGTGTGTGTGTGCGCGCGCGCGCATGCGTGCACACTCAAAACCCCAAGAGAAAGTGGAGGGGTGGGGAATGCAATGTGGCATCCACCCGAGGGGTGCTTTCTCTTCTTTTTTATTATTATTATTTTTTATCTCTCTAAGGAGCACACACTACCTACAAAAAAGCAAAAATATGTATTTCTATTTCTTAAAAATATGCGCATATTAGGGTTTTTCCAAGATACTTGGTATCATTTTTGACAATTAAAGTTACACAACAATGGGAACATTTTATATATTTGTTTTCATAAGTCTTTTCTCACACTTTTCTCCCCCTCTACCATGTGTGTACATGTGCTCACTGGAGAGAAACAAAGTCATAAATCACCTCCTAGGTAGGATGGCCGTGCAACAAACCCTTCTTTATTCTCCTGTTGGAATTTTGGATATGCAGGTGCACACACACATGCACTCAGTGTGGTTTTTAAGCCACCGGGTCCGGGACTCAAACCTTGGAGTCAGCCATGTGGTATCCAACTCCCTTAACCTTCATGCCCCTTACTGACTTCTTTTTTTTTTTTTTTTTAAGCAGTTACTCTTTCACTTACTGGTAACTTTTTGTTTGATTTAGAGAAACATTGGGTTTTACTTCTTAAATATGGCTAACACCTTGCTTTAAATAGAAGCTTCATCTGTGCCATTTTCTTGTGTGCTTATTTATGCAGCAGTAGTATTTCCTCCAGTTTCTCTTCAAGAATCTTTAAAGATGCTTGTCTTCTATGCAGGTGAAATTAGTTAAAGCTAATAAAGTAATAGACATACATCTCAGGTAAACTGGGACACTTTACGATGTCTACAAGTGAACAAGTGCAGACACTTTGACACCCATCTGGAATGTGGGGGACAGGGAGGGAGGGACCTTCCACTCTCAAGATGTATCATGTACCCTATACAATGTGATACTTTGATATTTAGAACAAGTGATAGTATCAGTGTCAATTTATATTGGGCTGTCTAGAAAGTCATGACACATTTTTGCATCAGAAAAACATGGCATGACTTTCCCAATGACCTAATATATAAAATGGGGCTCAGTTTCTCTCATGTTTAAAATATAGACGTTAGGGACCAGCAGGTGGCATGGTGGTTAGGACTGGACTTCCACATGGCTGACCACAGTTCAAGTCCCAAACCTAATGGCTTGTTTTCTCACTTTCTCTCTCTCTGTCTCTCTCCCTCCCCCTCTCTCTCCCTCTCCGTCTCTTTCTCCCTCTCTCCTCCTCTGTGTCTTGATCTGGTTAAATTTTAAAAATAACAATAATGATAAGTAAAATGAAGGAAATAATTCTTTAAAAATATATATAGATAGCTAGACAGACAGACAGACAGACTTTCTGGACCAGCAGATGGCATAATGATTATATCGCTGGACTCCCATGTAGTTGACCACAGTTTGAATCCCAGACTTGGCGGCTTAAAAAAAAAAAAACTCATACCAAGTGTGTGTGCATGTGTGCCCAAAATCTCAAGCAAAAGGAGAATGAAGGAGAAGGGATTGTGGCATGGCTATCCTCCCTGGGGGGGTGATTTCTTGCTTTCTGTCTCTCTGTCTCTCCAAGGAGCAAACATGCCCTATAGCAAAAATTCCTCTAAAAAATAAATAAATAAAATATAGACTTTAAAATATAGTTGTGTTTTTTTGTTTTGTTTTTCATTTTTTGTTTTTTGTTTTTGTAGAAGTTTTTGCTTTAGGGCATGCACTTGCCAGAGAGAGAGAGAGTTAGTGAGAGGGAAAATGAGAAATTTTCCCACAGGAGGAATGGCCATGCCGCAATCCCTTCTCCTCCAGTACCTTGGGCTCGTATGTACATGCATACAGCGTAAATTTCAAGCCACTGGATCTGGGACTTGGAACTGTGGTCAGTCATGTGGGAGACAAGTGACATAACCATCTGCTGGGTCCTTAGAGACTTTTTATTTTTTAAAGTTCTTTTTTTTTTTTTAACTTTTTTTACTTTTTTAAAACTTTATTCATTTTTAAAATTTAAATGAGAAGAAGGGAATAAAATAAAATAAAATAAAATAAACATTCTGTCATTTTCTTTCTTTTTTGGAGAAGTTTTTGCTACAGGGCACGTGCGCTCATCAGAGAGACACAGAGAGACAGAGAGATAGAAAGCAAGAAATCATCCCCCAGGGGGGATGGCCATGCCGCAATCCTTTCTCCTCCCTTCTCCTTTTGGGATCTTGGGTACACATGTACACATGCCCGGTGTGAGTTTAAGCCACCAGGTCTGAGACTCGAACCCCAGTTGACAACATGGGAGTTCAGCAACATAGCCATTACGCCAACTGCTGGTCCTCTGGCGTATTCTTTCTGTGTCCCTAGAGAATTTTATAATTTGGAAACTGCAGCTTTAGGCTGGCCAAGGCACCCATACAATCAATAAAAATAGCTAACTGTTAGATGAATAAGACCTGGGCTTCAAATTTGGCTTAAATATTGATTCCACGAGGTAGACACCTGCTACTGAACCTTAAGTTATCTAATCTTTGGTTATGTCATCTGTAAAATGGTATAAAAAGTTCTGCCTGCCTGCTTGGGTTATGGTTGTGAATGTGGGAACAAAAGAAAATTATGCATGTACTGCTTTAAGCCCTGTACCCTGCTAACATTAGCTGACCCTGGGCTAAGTACTGTAAATGCAGAGATGTTGTGACCTGCCGTCTCCCTGGAGATAAGTTTTTCTGACTCCAGGTAAACACCCCAAGGGTGAAGTTTGCCAGTTTGAGGGTTCCGTTTACACACCTTAATCTATGAAGTGACAGAACAGTACAGCTCTGTAGTTCTTTTCTTCATTATTCAGAGGCATCTTTAGTGCCTTAAAATGTAGCCTTGTATGAGTTAGCATCACAGGTCACTCTTTGTAAAGGACACTAAAAACTTGTTTTACTATTTCAGGAATAGTACAGAAAGAGATAACATAAAATACCTCCCAGAACAGAAAGGTGTGCACAGACTGATCAAGTCAGCTCCCTGAGCCTGAATGATGACTGCTGAGTCAAGGGAAGCCACAGGTCTGTCCCCGCAGGTGGCACAGGAAAAGGATGGCATCGTAATTGTGAAGGTAGAGGAGGAAGATGAAGAAGACCACATGTGGGGGCATGATGCCAGTCTGCAGGACACGCCGCCTCCAGACCCTGAGATATTCCGCCAGCGCTTCAGGCGCTTCTGTTACCAGAACACTTTTGGGCCTCGAGAGGCTCTGAGTCGACTGAAGGAACTTTGTCATCAGTGGCTACGACCAGAAGTAAACACGAAGGAACAGATCTTGGAGCTGCTGGTGCTGGAGCAATTCCTTTCCATTCTGCCTAAGGAACTCCAAGTCTGGCTGCAGGAATACCGTCCTGACAGTGGAGAGGAGGCCGTGACTCTTCTGGAAGACTTGGAGCTTGATTTGTCAGGACAGCAGGTAAAAAGAAGTGAAACCTTCTGTGTGAGCAGGAGGTAGACTTTGAGATTGGAGCTGGGAGAGAGTTACTGATTTAAAGCTAACGTTAGTAGTATTTGTGGTGTTAACTCATTCTGCTGTCCTTAGATTTTAAAACATGCTCTGGTCTTTCTTCCTTGCTTCCACAAGCATGCTTACAATCTTTTCTTTAATATTCTACTCCTGTTCTAAAAGTGACTTATCTGGCCAGAGGTGGCATCATGGTTGGGGTGGCTGAATCCCACATGGCTGGATGCATGGTTCAGCTCCAGGACCTAGCGGCTTAAGGGGTGTTGGGCTTGTGTGCGTGCATGCCCAGAATAGAGAGGATGATGGAGAGGAAGGGATTGTAATATGGCTGTCCCTCCTGGAAGGGTGCTTTCTCACCTCTCTCTGGCAACTGCAAAAATTTTAAATTTTTAAAATTAAAAAATGAAAAGATTGGGAACCAGCAGTTGGAGTAATGGCTATGTCGCTGGACTCCCATGTAGTTGACTGCGGTTCGAGTCCTGGACCTAGTGACTTAAACTCAAGGCAGACACATGTGCGTGTGTGCCCAAGATCCCGAGAGGAGAATGAAGAAGGGATTGTGGTGTGGCCATCCCCCCTGGGGGGTGATTTGTCTCTTTCTGGTGAGTGCACGCACCCTATACCAAAAACCTCTCCAAAAAAAAAAAGAAAAGATTTATTCACAAAACCAACTTATTTGTCCTCAGGTTCCAGGTCAAGTTCATGGCCCTGAGATGCTTGCAAGAGGGATGGTGCCTTTGGATCCTGTTCAGGAATCCTCAAGCTTTGACCTTCATCACGGAGCCACACAGTCCCATTTTAAGCATTCATCTCGGAAACCCCGCCTTTTACAGTCTCGGGGTAAGAAGCAAGATTTTGTTTTGGGGAAAAGAAGTGAATTCAGTATGGAAGAACTTTCTCTGTGTTGCTGGGCACCTGTTATAAAGAAGCTTGCTTGTTTTTGTTACTATAGATTATTGTCATTATAACAAGATACTAGAGAAAACATAACTTGCTGACCAATCTAAAGAGTTAAGTGATGTTACTCAGGAGGTAAATGAGCTGTTTATGATGAACTTGATGGCCATTATATTATTTATTGAATTGTTACCACATTTTCAGCAGTCAAGTATTGAGAACAAAAGATACGTTATTTCTAGCCTGGGTCTGGAAACACTCTAATGTGTCATAAAATATCTTTAAGAGGATCATAAATCTTTTAAAAGATCTATTTTATGGGGGGCCAGCAGGTTGCATGGTGGTTAAGGTGCTGGACTCCCACATGGCCAACTGCGGTTCAAGTCCTGGGCCTGGTGGCCTTCTCAGTATTCCCTCAGTCACTCTCTGCCTCTTTGGTCAAATTAAAAAATAAAAAATAATAACAAATAAAATTAAATTTTAAAAAGTTTTTAAAAAGATCTATTTTATTTGACACACATAAAATGTTATATAGTATTCACCTTTCTAGGTTATTTTCAAAGATTTCAAGCAATGGGAAAAAAATGAAAGAAAAAAATGTTTTTCCACCCTTTGGTTGAGGAAGATGAGAAGAAAAATCAACACAGGGTCATGCAAATAAAAATCAATTTATTTTTCCATTTACAGGAAATAGATAATATCTTTATTCAGTTTTAAAATAAAAATACGTGCATAGGAAGTTCATAAAACAATAAAATCAGTTGTTTAAAGTACAGTTCAAGAAGGGCTGATCAAGACACATTCCTGAATCACTGTGTTTACTTCTAGGTAGGAATATTAGCTCATGAAGCTTAAGGAAGTGTTTCCTCAGCCATGCCTCCTGGAGGACAGCCAGCAGACAGATGCTAGAGAAACTGTTTAACTCCACCACTGTTGATGCCCTGTAGAGCTTGTAGATTTTCTTCATGCTTACAGAGGGTAACAGCAGGAAATTGGACAGGATATTCATGATCTTAAGTGCTATATTAGTGCTTCAGGTTGCCAGAGTGATATTTTTAGAGACCCTGGTATGTAATGTTGTTATTTAGTAAATGGTTCTTGAATGAATTATTCTGTTTCCTCTTTGGCTCTTTTATCTTCTGGAGTGTTTCCTAATTCTTAGAAGGTTAAAGTGCTAGGTCCTTGGATCCTTTTGTACATTTTGCTTTAGCCTATCTTATTGTACAGTTCAAAATAGTTATAGGCGGGACCAGCAGGTGGTGTAATGGTTACATTGTTGGATTCCCACATGGTCTGTTGGTTCAAGACCTGGACCCAGTGGCTTAAAACTCATGCTAGGCGCGTGTGCGTGCGTGCCCAAGATCCCAAGAGGAGAATGGAGGAGAAGGGATTGTGGCGTGGCTATCCCCCCCCCACCTTCCCAGGGGTGATTTCTTACTTGCTTTCTCTTTGTCTCTCTAGTGAGCACACACAGCCTATAGCAAAAATCTCTCTTAAAAAAAGAAATAGTTATAAGCTGGTAATTTAGTTTAAAATTTAATTTTCTAGAAGTCTTTGTAGCCCAGTATATATCCTCTATATTCCAGTAACATTTGCAAATTTAATAGTATTTGGCAGGAGGAGAGGAGTGTTAATTTTGCAATGTAAGTTTTTCCTAATTCTTCTTACGCATTGCTGTTAGTGTGATCATATGATATGTCTTTTATTATATGAGTGTCAGCCCTTATCTTTATATATTTGTAAATGTTTCATTAACATTTGAACCATGTATACATTTTATCAAAAACACTCACAAAACTGTTTATTGTGACCAAATGAGGGAGAAAAGTAGAGGGACACATAGTGGCAAAAACTTAACCCAGAAGTAAGAAGACCCCCCATACTTCCCTGCCTGTCTAGATATTACTATTAAAGATTATAAAGCTGTGTTGCATTTTTTACAAGTATAGGCATAAATGAGGTTTTAATACCTCAGTATGTTTGTAGAATTAGAAAAAATAATGAGCCCAAATTGAATCACGGGCTAATCGTTACCTATTTTTGTAGCCAAGAATAGAAACCTGAGTTCTAGTTCTGACTCTGCCATTTTTAATTTGGTGACATTATGCAATTCGTTTATCCTCTCAGTGCCTCTGTATGCCCCCTCCTTTAAAAGAAAATAATTGAACCAGGTAACTCCTTCTAGGACTCCTGTGACTCCTGCTTAAGAAGAGGTCTTGGAAAAATGGTTTCTCTTGATGTTCTCTGAAACTCTCTATTGGGTAAAGATTGAACAGTGAAAGTGCTTGTGCAGGAAGGAGAGTGCTCAAGCCCTTCTCTGAGGAAGGCTCAGTCCAGGGCTGACTTACTTACAGCCCCTTTCTCCTCTTCTAGCTCTCCCTGCCACCCATGTTCCTGCCTCTCATCACGAGGGAAGTCCCAGAGACCACGCGATGGCATCTGCACTATTCACAGCAGATTCCCAGGTGAGCAGTGGGCCCCTCTGCCCTTCCGAATTCCTTGTCTTTGCCTTTCTTCCTGGGACTTGGTAAACATTTCCAACAGGCCACTCACTCTCTTAATCCCCTGCTCACAGAAAAGCCCCACTCTCCCTCTCCATTTAGTGTCTTTCCACCTTGGACCCACTAATCTACCAGACTCTGGTCACATTTTCTTTCCGAGGGTACTATAGCTTTGCAGTCACCTCTGTCCCTGACTCCAGCTGTGGGCAATGGAAGAAATGTCCCTGAATTTGGGGAAAACTGAGTGCAGGGATCTCTTATTATTTCAGGCAATGGTGAAGATTGAGGACATGGCCGTGTCCCTCATCCTGGAAGAATGGGGCTGTCAGAACCTGGCTCGGAGGAATCTCAGTAGAGACAACAGGCAGGATAATTATGGAAATGTGTTTTCCCAGGGTAAGACTGATAAAGAATTATTGTTTTAAAGTATTGTTTTTACCTTATTTGTTAGTTAGTGGGATCTCCAGTTGAGTATCAGTAAGAATTTAGAGACTGTTGATCCCCTTTCTTCAGACCAGATGGAAAGCAAAGACAGTTCTATTCATTTAATTCCAAACCATGGTCTGATTCCAGGTGAGATTTGTTTTGTTGTTGTTGTTATTTAGATTTTTGCCATAGGGCTTGTGCACTTCCCTGAGAAAGAAAGGGAAAGTGAGAAATCATCCCCCAGAGGGGATGGCCATGCCACAACCCCTTCTCCATTCCCTTCTCAGGATTTTGGACACACATGTACATTTGCCTGGTGTATTTTTCAAGTGACCAGGTCTGGGACAGAAACCTCAGCGTTTGGCCATGTGGGATCTAGTATCTTAACCACCATTGCGGAGAGCAGCCAGTCTGAAAACATGTGATGAAAACATGTAGCCTGTGGACACATGTAGAAACATGTAAGCTACTCTAGCAGGGCTGTTGAGAAGCATCTATATATGAAAGCAGTGTCTGCCTGCTGTCGATAGTTATCTTCCTGTTGTTGATACCCAATACCTCGATACTGCCCAATATCAAGGCTAAAGGAAGTCACATGTTTTCTCTGCCTGTCTGGCAAGTACACGCCCCTTATAGCGAAAATCTCTCCAAAAAAAGAAAAAAAGAAATCCTTACTTTGTCAAGTTAACCATCACTTTGTTGATAAAATACAGAATTGGAGTAGTGTTTATTCTTCCTTTTCAAACTATCTTTCTTTCTTTCTGGTAACACCTCTTTTTTAGCAAAGTTTTTTTGTTTTGTTTTGTTTTTTCCTTTTTTTGAGAAACTTTTGCTCTAGGACACGTGCTTACTGGAGAGATAGGCAGAAAACGAGAAATCACCCCCCCAAGAGGATGGCCATACTAAAATCACTTCTCTATTCTTCCCTCAAGATTTTGGGCACATGTGCATACATGCCCAGCTTGAGCTTTATTTATTTATTTATTTATTTTTAAATATTTTATTTAACTCTATATTTATTTATTTTAATTTGACCACAGAGGGACAGAGAGAGAGCGGAGGAAAGTGAGAAAGCAAGCCATCAGGTCTGGAACTCGAACTGCTGTCAGCCATGTGGGAGTCCAGCACCCTTAACCACCATGCCTCCTGCTGGTCCCCCAGCTTGAGTTTTAAATTGCTGGATCCAGGACTTGAACTGCGGTCGACTGACTACATAGGAATCCAGCAGTACATTATGCCATCTGCTGGTCCCACAAAGAAAAATTTTAAACTTAAAAGTGTTTGTTAGAAATGGAGCATGTGCTTTTAAATGTGTGCTTCTTCCTTAAATTAATTATCAGATGATCAAATGACTGAATTGTGACCTTTGAAGACCTTTAACTACTATCCTTTCCTTTCTTTCTTAACTTGTTCTCTTTCCTCTGCTCAGTCCCTAGCTTGTCTGTTTTCACCTCTTTGTGCTTCTTTTGTTGTTATTTCTTCTTTCTTTCCATTCTGTCCTTCTTCTAATTTTCCCCCTCTATTCCCAGTTGTCCCAGTTTCTTCCCTTGTTTTCTTCCTTTTTCTATCTTGGATTGATATTGTGATGTCTTTTTGAAGGCTTGTAGACGTTTTCTGGGAAATAATATCACTTGGTTAATCCGTATATGCAAAAGAAAAAGGTACTATTTGTATTTTCTATTTATTGCCAGATTGTGAAAACAGGAATGAAAATGAAGAGTCAGCCTCAAAGGCAGAAGATTCTGCATCACGTGGGGAGACAGCAGGAAAGTTCCAGAAGGAGCTTGGAGAGAAACGTGAACAGCAGGGCCGGATAGCAGAAAGGCAGCAGAAAAACCCTGAGGAGAAAACTGGAAAAGAGAAAAAAGATTCAGGGCCAGCTGTAGTCAAGGACAAAAAGTCCACCCCAGGAGAGAGAGGTCCAAGGGAGAAAGGTAAAGGATTGGGAAGAAGCTTCAGTCTAAGTTCAAACTTTAATACCCAAGAAGAAGTTCCGACTGGAACCAAGTCTCACAGATGTGATGAATGTGGTAAATGCTTCACCAGAAGTTCAAGCCTTATTCGCCATAAAATAATCCACACTGGAGAAAAGCCCTATGAATGTAGTGAGTGTGGGAAAGCCTTCAGTCTTAACTCAAACCTAGTTCTGCATCAGAGAATTCACACAGGAGAGAAACCTCATGAATGTAATGAGTGTGGTAAAGCCTTCAGTCATAGTTCCAATCTCATCCTCCATCAGCGCATCCACTCTGGAGAGAAACCTTATGAATGTAACGAGTGTGGGAAGGCCTTCAGCCAGAGCTCAGACCTCACTAAACATCAGAGAATCCACACAGGGGAAAAACCCTATGAATGTAGTGAATGTGGAAAAGCTTTCAACCGAAACTCATACCTTATTTTGCATCGGAGAATTCACACTCGAGAAAAGCCCTATAAGTGCACTAAGTGTGGCAAAGCCTTCACCCGGAGCTCAACCCTCACTTTGCATCACAGAATCCATGCCAGAGAGAGAGCCTCTGAGTACAGCCCTGCCTCTCTTGATGCATTTGGAGCATTCCTGAAAAGTTGTGTGTAAGGCAAGAATTTGTCATCAAGCCATTCCCCTTTTGTTTGTAAAATTATTTCAGAGGTGTGTGCCCATGGAGGGAAAAAAAAAAACCAGCCTGAATAGATTTTTTTTTAAAAGTCACACTTAAGGATCCTTATAGTTACATCAGCAGTGTTCTGCCTTTTTGTAGTCTGTGGGCATGTAATTCTTCCATACAGCCCCTGCAGGGAAAAGCTAGTCATATGGATAATCCACATAAGATAAAAGCACACACAGAGTAAAATGTCAAGCTTTTCAATCATGAGGATACCTTTAAGGCTCTTTTTGGACTCTCAGTAACCACAATATAGAATGAAAGATGAAGATTGGCTTTGTGAACATGATATTGAGGTTAAGAAGCTAACTTGCTGCAAACAAGCCCTGCTTGGCCAACATCTTGCTTATTTCTCAAAAAAGAGGGACAGGTAAAACAAAAACTAAATTGGGACATGCTGCTCAAGCTAGTTATATATACAATAAGTTATATTTATATGATCACTGGTAGCCTACCAAAGCTATAGAAATCTAGGACTGTGCTGATAGTATCAAACCAAAGATTTCTATCTCTTACTGAAAGAGAGGGTATGTGCACCAGTCTACAGTTCCAAAGGACTGCAACAAATGTAGATGGTTCTATCCTCATCACTGAGATTAATTCTACTGAAGTGGCAACAAGGATTCAAAACACTTCTCTCCCTTCTTGAAATCCCTAAAGCACTAGAGCACTCCTAAATGCATTTCTTCACAAGTTAGCACTTGATCATATACTGACTTTTAATCCTTCATTGTTTCATGTATGGAAGTTTCTTATCACCCCAAAAAAGATAACTTCAGTTGACACAGGATATGTTTATATCCTTGACAGCATAGCAGCACCAGACATAGTGCTGAACACTTAAGAGGCACTCATTATGACTGACTTCTAAAGGACTTCTACATTTACGATAAAGCCTTGTGAATCTGAGTACCTGAAATATGGTAGTCTGGCCCAACTTTTAATGAGGCCCTTTGGAGCCATGAGGCATGCTAGACCTGTGGGACTTGATGGTCTTTTTGTCCTAAATATAAACGAAAGGCATTGGTTAACTGCCTGCATAAACTCTAAATATAGATCAATGAGTGAATACCACAGAATATCAAATGACTCTTAATGAAGAAAAAATATGTACACTGACTAAGGTCTTATTATTATTTAACATTTTCTGTGATAGAAATCTTAGCCAGAATTCTCTTCAGTCAGCTGCTGAACATGTGATCATTTGGGCACTTTCTCAATCACTCAGAGTTTAGATAATATAGTTCAGAAGATAGGCTTTTGGTTGCTTTTCAGAAAAAAAAATAGCATTTTTTCCATACTTTTCCAAAAACTTTGGAAAAAGCATTTGGCATCATTAGCTGGTGATTTCTAAACATATTTTGTTGGTCTGAGAAATTTGCTAATGTTCTGAGATGTAGTTGGTTTTATCATAGCCATGATGCACAATGTCTTTTCTTTCTCATCACTAAAGGTTGAGGTGGAATTATGAAACTTTAATTCCATCATCTGTGCAAGGAGAATACACTTGGCTCCCTAGAAGCTAATGATGGGAGCTATTTCACACATACAGGAGACCTAAGTATTGAAGGCTGTGTAGGTAGTTATCAATGGCTTGGGTAGAAATGGCTCTGCTTGTGAGAGAATTCAAATGATTGTGAATAGCCCTGCAGAAACTTAGAAATGTAACTAAGGACAAACCTGAAAACTGTCAGTGTGACCACTCCTTAACAGGAGAGCCCCACATACAGTTTGAGATTCTCCCTCAAAAAACATAACTGTCATTTATCAGTTTACTGTCCTACAGCTGAAGTCCAGGAGACAGCATGGCTTTATGTGAAACCAATAAGGTGTAAGCAGATGTGGCCTCAGCTCTAGACCAAACTCAAATTCTGCACAGCAGTCATTCTTTGACACTCTCTGGCTTTATTTCTTGGACCAATCACAATTTTTCCTGTTGCTTCCGAGCTGTTTCATCAGTACTGCCTGGGAAAACGTCAAGTAGTAAGTGAATTGGCAACCAGAGTATTTCTGTCCATCCAATTTAAGAAAAACAGAGATACTTCAGAAGAGTATCTAGTTTTATAGTATAGAAATTCAAAGATTTTCTTCAAATAATAAGCCACAGTGATGGTTACACAGAATATTGTTGACACTTTTGAGAAGACTTCTGCCCTCTAGAAAGCAACTGAAAGTGAAGTGCATAGATCCTGGCACTGATCCAGACACTGACTTTGTTCTTAAGAAGGAAAGGACTTTGGTTGTTCTACATTGTCCTTTTTTAAGACACAACTACAGTGCTGATGTAATTCAGCCATTATTTGGGGGTTTTGTTTTAAAATGGCAGTTAAATGTGACCTGCATCCCCCACCTTTACTTCCATTTTGTTGGGCCATTGTATTGACTTTGTTGCCTAGCCACTGGGCTTGCTCCAGTCAGCAGAGGCACTCCTTGAAGCAGCTATTTGAAGATGTGTTTTCTGAGGAAAACAAGCTATACTGTTTATTAAAATCATATGCATTGCATTCATTTATCAGATGCTCACTGAAAGTATAATTTGGGTCATCGTCAAAAACACCTACAACATCTGATTAGTGCTCAGGATGGTCATTCTAAAGTTCTCTACTGGCTAAAGTATGTTACCAGTTTAAGTACTGCATAGGTAACCATTAGCATGCTAGTTGACATAGTGGAAGTTTCTGAAGAGTTTTTACAATTTTACTTTAACCTTGCCAGGAAGAGAAGTAAAATTCTTGAAGTTGTGTGGAGGCATTTGTTTCTATTCCAGCCTGGCAGGCAAGGCTAAAACTCAAGAATGAAGATGTATGAAACACTATAAGGAAGGCACTTACAAAAACATAAAAGTGAAATTGTGCTAAATATGTGTAGAGTCACATGTTTAATATGTGGGACAATTCACATCTTATATACACCAGAGAATTTACTTCCGAAAAAAACAACCTCTTGAATGTGATAAATGTGGCAAAGCCTTTGATCACATCTCAACCCTTAGCATCAGAAAGCTTATACTGTAAATAAACTTTATTAATATTATATGAGGAAAATTTCATGTACAGCACTCATTGCTTTGGACAGAATATGAATTCCATCAGTATGTTCCAGTCATGTAATGAATTTCAGAAACACTGCAGAAGGAGCTCAATCTTCACTCCAGAGGATCCACAGAAGAAAAAAGAACAGGGAAATGCTAAAGAAAATGTACAACTTCTTTAAAAAAAATTGTTAATGTTGGGTACGTCTATATATTTTGTATGACCATAACGTCAATGTGTGTTTTGTACTTCCAACCCCTGTTTGTTCTGTATATTTCGTGTAAGCAGATTATGTATTTTATTTTAATCTATTTGACAGAACATACCACTCCAAAAGAGTGAAGTTTTGGAGTGAGTAGTGAAGAAATTGATGTGGTTATAGACAAAAAGTTCACAGAACTGAGGAGGGGGTAAAAGAAGCTTTATAGTTTGGTGCTTATCAAGTCAAAAGACAAGATTGGTAAATTCTTGAGACAGACGATGAGGGCACTAAAATGGAACAGCTCTTATAAATATCTGCAGCTTTTTGAGAGTTTTCAAGACTAGTAAGTTTACCTCTGACTTGCCAGGTCTCCATTGCAAGGAAAAGGAATGGAATCTCTCCGTGAGTTGAGAGTACAAAATATTCTGAACTAGCTAGTCAACCTGACCAACTTCTGTAAACCATGGTCCTGTTTACCCACTGTCTCTTAAATCTTAATGCATAGAATATTTGAGATAGGAAAACACCAAGGTGGGCTCTTCCCCAAGAAATAGACACAGCTATATCTAGGTGCAGCCTTGCAGGAAGTTTGAAAAGGCTTGCAATATTCCTTCCGGCTGTGCTCCGTGTACCTTTCCTGCTCCCACTTTCTTTCCTTTTTTTTTTTTTTTGGAGAGATTTTTCGCTATAGGGCACGTGCACTCGCCAGACAGAGACATAGAGACAGAAAGCGAGAAATCACCCCCCAGGGGGGATGGTCACGCCGCAATCCCTTCTCCTCCATTCTCCTCTCGGGATCTTGGGCACGCACACACACGCACCCGGCGTGAGTTTTAAGCAACCGGGTCTGGACTTGAACCGGTCGACTACGTGGGAGTCCAGCAACATAGCCATTACGCTAACTGCTGGTCCCCCCCGCTCCCACTTTCTCCCCCTGGTTTATGATTATCAGAAGAGGGGTTTTGTGAAGATTCATAGCTGTGAAGTAACTTTTCTTTTTTGTCCTAGAGTTTGTCACCTTTATTCCAGGTAATCATGCCGATCTTATCCAAAGCTAAGTAATCAGGTTCATCCTAATGTCCTCATGGAAGACTTATTGTGTGAATTGGGGTAACAGTATGAAATATAGTCAAACAGTGACAACAGTACAAGCTAAAGTATTGCTAGTAGAAGCCACATTTTTATGTCTGTCTCTAAGCACCTCAGAAGTATTTGTGAAGAGGCTGGGGTTCCCCTCTGGGAAACCAAATGAGGGTCTGCACATTGTTAAATGAAGTACAGAATCAGAGAAAAAGAAATTAAGTGGTATGAGTAGATCATTTCATAGAAGTTAGGGTAGATTTTTATTTTAGCTACTGTTGGAGAACTTAATAAGCATTATTATTTGAAAAGTTTTCCTAATGTAGATCTAGGTTTCATTTTAAGAATGGACACACTACTGTACATTTCAAAGCAGTTACTTATTTTGCTATTCAGATTAATGTTTTATGATACCCCAAAATTAAATGATCTGTTTTACTTTTCAACGCTTTGTAAAACAAACTTGAAAGTATAGGGAGGTAAGCCATCTCCAATTCTGCAGGTAAAACACAAGTTTGGGAAACAGTTTTGACATCCCTCAATACAGAATGTCTTAACATGAAAACTTCATTTCATATTGACTGACTCTGTCTAATAGTGGACACCAATCTCATTTTTCTCTGTTATCTTAAAACAGTGGAAGTTCAGGAAGGGGCTTTAGGTAGACCTCAAAACCATGGGCTGCTGTGATATTAATCTTTGAGATTCTCACCTCCATTTACTAAAGAATCATGACTCACTACCAGTTACACAGTAATAAGCAAAGTTAATTGGTCTTTAAATTTTATCCTTCAACAAGCACTCATTAAGAGGTAAAGCTGAGAGTCTTAAGACAAAAGGGATGGGATCTATGAATGAATGAAACGTGGATTTCATTCCAGTTTCAGATTTGGGTTTTCCTTTGATCCGAGAACTGGACCAGCAGCTGTGATCACCTTAAATTATTGTCATTTGATCTCCCAACAAGGTTAGGGGGATTAGGATGGAGAAGTGGGGAGAGGGTTATAAACAGCCAGGAGTAATTGGGAGGTCTGAGGAGGGAGAGAACAGAAGGTATTGGGGTTAGTGCTCACTTACCTTCCCCTTCCCCTCAACCAGGTCAGTTCAGCTGCTTTTTAAAGTTTTTAGTCTGCCCTAACAAGGATAAAGCATGTTAGACTTAGAGATGCTTCTGCGGGTAGCAGGGGTTCTTATTTGAAAACATATATGAGGGGGGTGGGATGGGAGGGAGCAGATTGTGATTATGCAGGAAAATCTTGTTCTAAAAATATATGAGTTTAGAAGTAAGGGGTGGGATATGCAAGCAAAATCAGTAATTATTTTAAAATGAACATATGTATTTTTATTATTAATTTTTAGTTAAATATAGATTATTACAACCAGGTCAACGTGATAAGCCTAAATCTATATAGAGAACTAACTCAGGCATCGTCTTGTTTATTTGTAGACTGGATACAACTACCTGTCCCGTTTTGTCATCTCCCAGTGTCATTTAGAATAAATTAGACCAAAAGAAAAAACTTCCTTTTTGTATACCCACAGAATTAAATTATTGCTGTTCAAAACTAGATTTTTCATTTTACTGGTCTGAAGAGTTCAGATGCTTGGTAGATATTCAATAAATGATTTTTAAATTGAATTTGTTTAAAATCCTCATTAACATTTCTAGAAAGACTTCTTTTGATGAACAGTGGAATCAATGGTTTGTTTTTTTTTAAAGCTAGGAAACTCCTCCACTTTGAAAAAAAAAAAAAGTAGAGACCTTGATTTTAGAGCTAAAGTTTCAATCATAAGAGAATGGCAGCAAAATTAAAATTTATATACTTTATAGTCAATAGGAGGCTGGTGGTGTCTGACAAAAAAATGTTAGAATAGTGAAGTTGGGGGAGGAAATTGTGGGGATTTGTAATATTCTCTATGTTGTTTCTCTTCTGGCTCATGGTAAGAATAAATTATCTCTAGGTGACAATACTTGTGTTTGTTTTTTGTTCTTGCTTATAAAAATGCATGCTTTAGGTAAAAAATATATATATAATTTCAAAATTGAAAACAAACTGTGATCCACAACAAAATCCTCATGCAAAACTTAATTGCTTTTACTTTGTCTCATTTAAATAATTGATTTAACCATATTTAGAAACTGAAATAGAGGTTACAAAATATTCTGGTTTCCCCTGTGCTTCAGTGTCTGTATCCTTAAGATAGGAATACTCACTCCTTTGCTTGCTTTCTAGGCCTGTGGTAGAATAATTATAAGGCAAAAAAGCAAAAGGTGGCACATTTGAGAAAAACTGCCTTAAACACAGGTATTGTCACAACCAGATCCTGGTTCACGGAAATATTACCCTGTCCTGTCCAGCTGTTTGAGCCTGACTCCCAGAGAGCAGAACCTGAGGTGAGGGCTGTCTACAAATTATGTATTTTAAGAAATTATTCTAGGGACCAACAATTAGCGTAATGGCTATGTTGCTGGACTCCCATGTAGTCGACCACGGTTCGAGTCCTGGACCCAGCAGCTTAAACTCACACCAGGCGTGTGTGTGTGCATGCCCAAGATCCCAAGAGGAGAATGGAGGAGAAGGGATTGTGGTGTGGCTATCTCCCTGGGGGGCGATTTCTCACTTCCCTTCTCACTGTCTCTCTGTTTCTCTCCAGCAAGTGAACATCCAAAAAAAAGAGAAACCAAGTTCTCTCCGTTTATAGAATATTGACCTTGTTTTCCCCTTGCTTGTAGATTGTATTTTTGTTTGTTTGTTTGGAAGCTCCTGCCCTGGCACTGAAAATAAGATCAAGGCTAATGGGGTAGAGGTAGATTACTCAAAACGATGGCCTTTTGTAACAGGAGCCTCAAAAACAGTCCTCATTTTAGATATTAGTACAGTTTAAAAGACATTGAATTCCTAGTGAGTGAAAGAATACTGCATGGCCCAGCCGCAGTGACACAGATGGTAGGGCACCACTCTACAGTGGTGGAGCCACAAGCAAGATCATGGAACGGATGGACCTGAAATAGGCCAGGCTGTGCATACACATGACCCTATCTGGCTGAGAAGCTGGGCAGATAATCACCATGTGATGGTACCCTGTGAAGGGTGCCTGCTTCTCTGTCTTTCTCTCCATTTCTCTTGGATAAAACAAAATGAATAAACCTTATTTACACTGGATGGCACATGCATTCACCACAGAGAGACAGAGAGAGGAGAAAGCATCCTCCGTGGGAAATGGTCACACCACAGTCCCTTCTTCTCTGACACTCCCTCCTTGTGGAATTATAGGCATGCGTACACACACACCTGGCATGTTTCTTAAGCCTCTGGTTCAGGATTCAAACTGCGTGTTTGGCCATGTGGGATTCAGTTGCCTTAATCTATCAGGCCAAGGAGCTGGCCCAATAAAC